CTTCGCCAAGGTAGGTGGCTACCCTCGTGCCTCGGTTCGGCCTTTGACCTTTGTGGTGGCGTATGACCTGTGCGAAGGTTATTTCGAGATGTTAGTGGGGCTGTTTAGATAGCAAATTCCAAAGAGAAAAATAGGCGACGAAAGATATTAGGTGCTTCGAAAAGTTAAAAGGGATTCTGTAACATTCAGATTCAAGAAAAAAATACGACGGATGACATCAAAGTCTTGTCGAAATGCCCAGTTTGGCACAAGATGCCCCAATGTTATAGATGCGCACGCACGCATCTACATACACACACAAACACACACACACACACACACACACACACACACACACACACACACACACACACACACACACACACACACACACACACACACACACACACACATCCTTGCAAAAGTCGCACCAGCTCCCAGAACGAGCAACAGGTACCGGCTGCCGCGGAGGACAATGCGAGAGGCGAAGGGCACCTCGGCGGGACATATTGATCACGCCCGCGCCTCGCAGGCTCAGTCGCGTCCCAGCAAGCTCGCAGAAAGGATGCTGTGGGCCTCAGCTCTCCGGAATCCCAGCCCCTCTCGCGAAAGGAAGAGGTGGAGAAAGGGGACGAATTCCGTATCTATTTTGATATCCTATATCGTCTAATTTACTGTTGCATTTTGTTTTGTGTTTATCGTATCGCTTAATGTGTTGTTTCCATACATTTTTTTGGTCTTAGTCCTTTTGTGTGTGGATGGGGGGATATTACATTTTAGGTATTTTCTGATAAACGAATTTTATAGTCCCCCTCCCCTTATCAATGGCCTTCACTGCATTCCCGCGCAATACAATTTGGAATGCTTTCACAGTAACTAATAATTTGGGTTGAATACAGGGGCGTCATTTGGGGGGGGGAGGGTAATTACCTCCTCAAGACTAATTACTCTCTCAAGGTCTGGCTTTCCTCCTTAGGACCACACCCCCGTGATTTTTTTATCCTGAATTACGCCCTTATAGCACTGGTCATAGTTTAAAATGCTCCTAGAAACTGTGCTCATCTCGCCAACTTGCCCCCCGCCAAGGAAAGGCTGAAATGACGCCCCTGGTTGAATGCAAGAGGTTTCTGTTGGGGCTGCAATGAGCACTCTTACGATCTTTGCAAATGAGGGACAGAGGCAGCGGTGAGAGAGAGAGAGAGAGAGAGAGAGAGAGAGAGGGAGGGAGGGAGGGGGATAGATAGATAGAGAGACAGACAGAGACACAGAGACATAGATATATATATTTCTTTTTTTTTTAACAGCCATTCATTCCACTGCAGGGCATAGGCCTCTCTCAATTCACTATTGAGAGGTTATATGGCTGATTGGATGTCCTTCCTAATCAACCGCGGTTCGGCGTGTTAACTCTTGTGCCACGGCGGTGACTTCCCCTTCGACACCTGCGTCTGACTTCTCAAGGCGGGCTTGAGGAAGCAGTCAGAGCGTAGGCATTTTTACGACCGCTGCGACGGGGCATATATATATATATATGTGTATATATATATATATATATATATATATATATATATATATATATATATATATATATATGTATGTATGTATATATGTATATATATATATATATATATATATATATATATATATATATAGAGAGAGAGAGAGAGAGAGAGAGAGAGAGAGAGAGAGAGAGAGAGAGAGAGAGAGGGAGAGAGAGAGAGAGAGAGAGAGATAGTGAGAGAGAGAGAGAGAGGGAGAGAGAGAGAGAGAGAGAGAGAGAGAGAAAGGATAAGAAAGAGAGAGGATGAGAGAGAGAGAGTGGGGATGGAATAGAGAGAGAGAGGGGGGGGGCAGCAGAAAGTTAGGAATAAGGCAAGAAAGCAGCAGAGAAAAATAACATGATTAAAGACCTGAACTGAGCTAAAGCAGAAGGTATATACATATATGTGTGTGCGTGTGTGTGTGTGTGTGCAATAGCGCCACGAAGCCCTGTAAACCAATGACTTTGAAAATGCACAGCAACATTCCCACTAGATTTCAAGGAATAAAGGTTTTGTCTCGAGCCTCATAAAATTTATTTAGGACTGAGAAAGGCTCTCGGGGCAGCGCAGGCGTTCAATCTCCTGGTGAGGTATTATATGAGGTACATTTTTGGGGTTATTACTCGTGGTTTTGAAATTTGTGAGAATGTGCAGACGGTGTACGGGGTAAAGAGAGAGGAGAGTTATGAATATGGTTATGAATAGAGAAGAGGAGTGGACTGCGTCTGTTACAGGATTAGAATATAGAATAAGGAATCCAATTCTAATGATCGTCTACGAGGGAGAATATTTATAAGAATAGCGTGTTTTTATGAAAGTTTATTTTACCAAATCTGTTTCTTTTATTTTTTTACAAGAATACGTATATATAAAATCGAGTTGTAAAGATATGCAGTACGTAACTATTAAAAAAAAAACACGAAACAGAGTTAGAAATTGATAGAATCGGAAACCGCAAAACTACCGAAGATATAAAATGC